GGACCCTCGCTTTTCGTTCATTTGGCTAGACGAGACATCTGACCAAAAACAATCGATTTTATTGGTTTTGCAAATACGAGTAAGTACCTCTACGACCTTGCTAGTAATATCAAGTTATCAACAAGAATAAAGTCGTGATTTTATGTAGACAGTAATTGGTTTCTTAGTCGTTCATCTTAATGAAAAATGTTTTGCTTTTTTCTACCTTCCCAGAGAATGTCACAGTACTCAGGTAATTTTTCATTTATTAACTGGCTGACTATAGTTTGAGGATAAAAATGCATCCATCTACCGCGTGTCAGTTACGTTACCGAAATATGACGGATACTTTTTCACTGTCCAGTGAGCACTTATCATGATGAATGTAGTGAAAAACTTTGTTTCGCCAATTTAATATCAGTTCGCTTTTTCAATAACCCACGGTGGACGCGCTATGTTGACTTCAATTAATTTACTAGGCGCTATGATGTAATTAATATTTCCACAGAGCGTTCGTGTTATTAATTGTTGCGAAGAATAATGTTGATTTGTTTTTACGGATGGAAGGACTGAGGGACGTGAGTTGACGCGGTCGGTCCCTAGAGAGTTTAGATAGTAGTCAGCGCGCAATTACTCGAAACACAAACCGAGATGAATGTACCGAGCTGCGACCGAGGATCTTGATTAAAATTATTATTAAGGTTAATGTTTTCTAATGTCTACAGATTGCGTACATGCTCTGTACTACCCAGCTACTACTAAAACAATTACTGTGCTAAGAAAACAATGAGATTTACGAGGCTATTTTCAATGTAATAACAAACAAGTAGGCATAACACAAACTGCGATTGATTTACAAGTTTACACCGGTCTACAATGTACAGCAACTCTTATGACGAATATGGAACCGAATACTTGTTGCGTGTCCAATATTTCATGTCGTGCTTTTGACATTGTCTAAAATTTGTGTTTCTGGTTCTACTAAACGGAACATCAAATAAACTCAACACTACATACGTATTTGTTTAACATCTTTTTAGAATGTTTGGTTTTAGTTATCCCTTTGTGTAAATTGTTCATTAGGTACGTTATATTATCGTGGTTTTTGCTTGTGATGTGTTTCAGCCGCAGCACTTTCGGATTTTGTGTTCCCTACTTATGGTGAGTTTTTTTACAAAACCACAATGTCTATCGATGGGAAACAGACAAAGCTACTCACGCATCGCGCCTGGTGCGTTCGTCCCAGAATTTCTCCCAGAACGTGGATCTGTTTTTAATTCTGAGCACGCTGGTGCTGAGCGTACGAGGCAGCGTGCCGCCGCTGGTGCTGGCCGCCACGCCGGTGGACATGCTGTGCTCCGAGGCAGAGCTCTTGGCGATGAAGGAGACGCCGGCGCCCGCGCCTCCCAGCCGCTCCGACTGGGACCCTGACCGCTGCATCACTGTGGCTGCTCACTCACACTAACTCACTACATAACACGCGGCCACGCACCGACTACTCGCGATCGCGACAGATTCACCTATCGCGGATCGATCGTCATCGCGCTGACGTCGCGTCGCTCGTCTCCTACGCCGCCACCGCGGTTCTACCCACTAATGACTGTTGTTATTGTCGACCTCAGTAAGATGACACTTTCAGTAGCTGTTACATAAACTCTCTTTGTCGTCAGTCTGCTGTACTTTTGTATGTGTAAATAATTAATATTTCAGGCTAATCTCTTATTGGATTAAACATTCTATCACTCCGACATACATATGTTCAGATAACTTTATCACAATGTCCTTATCGACAGCAATATTTAAGTGAAACCTCTGTATTTTTATAACATAAAATATATTATCACATAAGCTTATCTTTAACTAAGTTAATGTCAGTTTTTAAATCTGAAGGTATGCATAAATATTAGGCCTCATCCTTGGCACCGATTAATTAATAAACGCAGTTGGTGAAGCTCGGGCATTGCGTGCAGCGCGGCCGGGGCCAACTTGTCAGATCAGTGAACGACCTCGACAATGTCCAACCGCTCAACCGCGAATCTCAAACACTCAAGTAAATATGCACGATACGTTTTTTGTTGGGAGACTTGTAAGAGAGACAATATGGGGGCTCACTTCGCGAATAAATAGCACCGATGCTTTAAGTCACATTTTAGTTGGGGTTTTAGTGACGGCAGGGGTTTGTACGGCAGAACAAGAGGTATGTGCATCGCGTGTCGCTGGGCATGGAGGTGGCGTGTCGCCGGCAGCCCGCGCGGACTATCAATGGAGCCGAGCGCCTCGAGCGGGCGGCGTCCCACTCGCTCGCCCGCCGCCCGGCCGCCCGCGCCGCGCCTCGCCTCGCCTCGTGCCGAGAGCGCGCGACGCCGCCCGACGATAAATTTGGCGCTAATGGAAACTGGCAACGGTGGGCGCCGGTAATCAATGTTCGACTTGGAAATCGAGGGGCAGTAAGAGCATTATCAATATCAAAGACAAATCAGATGTACACGTAGGAAAGGCTGGAAGTTGTCCTGAGATGAAATGAGAAATATGAGTGAGCCGAGTACGGCGTACTCCCCGTATCGATTATTTTACTTTCAAGGTGCGAGTCGCTTTCAAGTCGAATGCGTTACATATCGTGTTACTACTGTATTCCCGATTATTGATGATGCCTATATTCATGCATCCAATACCTAAGTACCTGTTTGCAAATTTTGTATTTCAGGTATCGACTCAATTAGGTACATTACGAAGTTTTTAATCTTTCAATTTTGTGCGTGAAGAACAGGATTTGTAAGAAAAGAATGTTGAGGAAGGACCGAAGGACAGATTCTTATAGTAGATTTAAAAATGCGTGGAGGTTTAACGGTTCTACTTCAATATTTATGTGCAGATAAAAACTCTATGGTATCTTTTTCTATGCAAACTATGTTATTTATGGATGGAAGAAATAAATAATTGTCCACACCATCTAACAAAATTCGAACGACTTTTACTTATCTAGAATCAAGTTATTCATCTGGAGTTGATATTCAAATCTAGGTATTTAAATATGAACTTCGTCTTTACCTACCACAAAGACACTCTATATCTGTAACAGAGAATAATTGAAACTGCAAAACAACCGCATCTTTTAAGCTCACCAAATCTGTGTGAACAGCTAAAAACCATTTTATCATGATCTCGCTTTGTATGATCTTTACGCAAATTAAATGGTCAGTTCATACTGGTAATTTTGAAGCCGCGTCTAATACTTGCATACACGTGTATAAACAATATAATAAGTACGTTAAGAAGATTCGGGATCGCTAAACTGTTTTTAACGATGTTCAATTAGGACTCATTAAGTGGATGTCAATTAAGTACCTGGATCAACGATCAATTACAACACCGAACCTTTGGGACGACTTTATCAAAAACCTTTTAAAGAGTTTGGTTAATAGTTGAAGTAGATATATGATTACACTAATAGAATTACACGGTAAGTGGTCACTCTCCGATTAGGCGATCTAATTTTATTTAATACGACCGAAACTAATTATAAATGTTCTCAATTCATGATCTGTGAATTGACAACGATTTCGACATTCGTTGTAGGGAGTTTATTTGCTAAAATGAAGATCATCTCACATTCTTTAATTGGTTAGAATTAAGATTGGTTAATAATTTTTGCTATTCGTTTGCTAGGCTAAAAGGGTACAGGTACCCTTTTAAATAAAGTATACATAAAATAGCAAAGTGCAAAAAATTTCGTTGCGACTTGAAAGAAATTTGTACGAACACACTTTCAAATTCGTAATAACTAGTGGATTTTACCAACTCCTATGTTATATCCTATCCTATCCTATCCTATGAATTAATTGTCAGTTATGATAAAGGATTTAGGACCCCAGATTACTATAAAAAATTTGAAAAAAATTTCGTAAATGCAGGTGTCGATAAATAATAATTAATTCGCTGCCATTAACATAGAAATAGAATATACTCTTTGTCTGTATCAAATTCACAAAGTACAGAGTATTTGAAAATGTTTTAATTAAAATATCTGCCAGTGACTCGTGTTAAGAACTAGACAAAAGCCCATTCATTAAGAAAATATATTTTACAATTCTACTACTATTCGTAATAAAATTTTAGGCAAGAATTAATACTTAGACGAAAATATTCATCTCTTTGTGGTTCTGAATTCGAAGAGAAAATTAATATGATATATGTAGTTATATTCGCTTATTTTTCACATGATCAAATATCTTATTATCTATTCAATAAAGTGTCATCGACCTTTAGATCCAACTACTCAGGTTTATTTTGATTAAGTAAAATAATTTGAGTGAAACCTAATGCGTGAGGCTGAAAATGAGAAGAATCCAATGAAATTCGTGTGAAGCATAGCCTATCTTGATTCTTTGGTTTTAAAATTGGATAGCCTTAGAAGGATCAAGTTCGAGGTATACAATTGTATAAGAATATATTTTTAAATCCATTAAAGTTGTTTACTGTAGAATGAATGTATCATTTTGCCTGACATAGTTATTTCCCTAAAGCATTCCCCTGAGAAAAGTACAATTGTATCGTTTTTCATTTATTCCGAACTGTCGTTTATTTCGTTTGTTCGCCCGAATTCCCTAGTTTGCTATTATTGTTTTGTTCTCGTACTTAGTTCACGATTTAAGAGCCTATTTACCCTAAATTATATCAAGGTTTTATGTGCCTTAATATAGATGAAGTAAACATTAACGACGTTATTATTATCTCGTTAAGAAGCTATAAACGGTTTGGTAATTAAGTAGACTACCTGTGGCAATTCGATTTTCAAACAGACACATCATAAACACCAGGATCCATAGAAAGCCACCATTAACATCGGAGCATACGTTATTGAAACCTGTAGAAAGAGTTGCGTACAAACCATAGCACTACAACACACACCCACAACGAAAGCTCTAAAACAATGAAAGCGAGATGGAGAGCAAGCCAAGAGAACTGAGACAGTTTATAAAGCGGTGTGGTGCTATTATACGTGCGTAGGTAAGTATACGTACGCTCTGTCCAGTTGTGCCGCCTCGGCCTCCTTGAATCTGCAAGCAATTAAAAAATAAGGAAAAGAAAGAAAGAACGAAGATTTCATAGGACATATATTGTTATGCCACCTAAGCGGGTCAGGTCGCGATCACAAGTATGCGGGGATTAGCGTCACACCAAGTTTGTGCTAGAGTAGTGTAGTGAGAGGCTCTGTAGAGGTGGCGGTAGCGTCGAGTGCTCGACTGCTGCAGGCGGTGCACACAGTGGACGTCACACGTCGGACGTCACACGTCACAGACGCCGGTGGGCACGCATGCTGTCACCGAACGTGTCGGTTGTGAGTAAGCTGGCTACTTGTTAGTCGTTCACAACATATATGTTATACATTTTACATACAATATGATTAATTAGCTTACTTTGGTCCTGTGTGCGAAGCTGTTCGGCTTCTTGTATTGTTTCATGCAATACGGAATGAAGACAAAACCTACGATGAGTAACAATACATTGATGACCAGTGTAATGTCTCGGTTACACATTTGATATTGATAATAGTATGACTGAAACTTCTACTGCTAGTGCTTCAAAAATAAGTCATACACTCGTACTCAACAAATGAATTAACCTTCTACTTCTAGAAAATTATTATTAGTAACATACATCACACTATTACTATTTCAAATCCAATTATCAGCAATCATCGCAGTAGCGCAATACTTCAACGAAATGATACAATAATATTTCAAGTATTTTGTTGATAGTCACTTTAATACTTTATTATTTCTTGATATGTACCTATTAAACTCTCGGTTTTTTTTTCAGAAACCCTACATACCTACCCTACTTTAAAATAACTTTGCTTTTAAACTGACTGTAAAAAATATAATTTATAAAAAGTTGATAGAAAATAGTTTTAAATACCAGAAGGACAGTTATTCCTAACTGAATATTATTTTGATAGATTCAGTACCTATTTACAATAGAGTTGTTTGAATTATGATGAAAAAAATTGTAGTAATATATTAGGCAGTCGCAGTTATATGCCAATTCACAATTTAAAAAGTTTCTAAAATGAAGTTATGAATTTTCCAAACTTTGTCAAATTATTATGGGAATTTTATTGTTTGCCAGCGGAAAGATATCTCGACAAGAACATTGCTATGGTGGCCACTGCTGATTACCTTCAGCACGCAAAGAAGAAACGGGAAGAAGACAATTTGACTCATTTCCTTTGAACAATTCCTTTCTTCATATGACTTTGGGTAGTAAACAGCGGAAAATTGGGGAAATTGGACGGAGTTTATATCGAGACCGTTATATGGTTTCCAATCTATGTGTTTGTCTGCAGATCAAACTTCTTAAATGTTTTCTTGTAAAACCGAGGAGACTGACATTTATAGTCTCATGAGGCCAAGTTTTAGTAAAGAAACATCAATCATTAACCTCCTGGTATTTCATTATTGGAATCACACAATGTATGGATTTCCTTATATTCTTCGCGAGATTCGCGAGAAAATACACAAATAAAATAAGAATAAAGTATTTGGACCACAAGTATTACCGAATTTGTAATTTTAACACGATGCAATGCAATTCGAGTTGAAACGGTTTTGTTAAATCAGAGAACATTTATGTAATATTTACGATATATTTACAAAGAGGATTTGTATTGTTTGTAGGAATGACATAATACTGGGTGATAAAATTTTGATGAATGCTCGGTGTTTAAGCACTGCAACGACGTTTATTTTTATGTTATATTCTTAAAACATACAATGCAACGTTCATTGTCCGCTTGCAAGATGTGCGAGCATTTCTATTTAATTTTGTTTTTATAAAAAACTCAGAAGTTATTATTCTGTATTCATTTACTGACTCGGTTGATTTTTGGAACATTTATCACCTAAGTTACCAATCTCGACAATTATTAAATTGACAGTAGCACAGTCGAAATTAAGACGTTTCTATAGGCACATCCGACAATATTGTTTTCGGTGAAGAAGTAATTTAAGTTGTGTCCAATTTCAAAAATAATTCTCTTCGTCAATTTGTCAATCAACTCGAGTCAGCTCGTTACGAAGGTATAATGAGTTCCTGCTGTCCCTTTGAGATCGAAACAGAAAAGGGTGTATCTTATTAGGTTTTTAATGTCAACGAAAGGGTGAGTTAGGGGTTCATCATTTTAATTAAATCTGCAATAAAGTCAAAACCTCTCTATATACGACAGACTTCATACCTCACTAAACTCGTCACTCATGTGAATTTGTGCATTGTCAAGCTCCTTTCATTTGCCTGCTGAGTGTTGGGTGACGAGGCGAAATATGCACCGCGCGTGCTCGAAATTAAATCTCATCTGATGTTGATATATGTATAAAAGTGTTACTGTGTTCGCCCCAATCCTGCTCCATACCGCTGGGAAAAATGATTGTATTCGAACCAGCTGTGAAGTGTAAGGAGCTTACTTCGCCCACTACAGTTGAACGTGCCTGACGCATTGTTGAGAATATTTGAGTAATACTGAGTGCGGATCATGTTTGGAGCTTGGGTGAGGGCGTGGCAGGCGTGTTTCATACGTCACTAGCTTACTCGTAGGCTAGGTATTAGACAATTTCGGGTGTGTCATGAAATCTTACCTTTCGCTGGCGATTGAGCTGTTCCTCGACATAGACTTGGGCGACATTTCGAAGTCGGAGTCTGAGCGGTAGAGGAAGGACTCGCGGCGCTGCGGCATGGCCTGCAGGACGAGCGCGGTGGACGGCGAGCCCCCCTCGAGGGGGGAGCGCGCGCCCCCCGCGCCTCCCGCACCACCCCCGTTCTCCACATCGAAGCTGAAACAATAGCACACGGTGATTAAATATAGCGCAATGTCATGAATAGGTCTTAATCCTGAATATACGAGTACATCGGCTGATAAGCTCAGATAAGACAATCGCCACGCGAGTTTAACTCGTCGTGCCTCGTGGCTTACACAGATAAATTGAAAACCCATCTGCCCACTGTTTATAAATACAATTTCGTAAAAGATTAACAAATGACACTTGTAATATATTTTGTGCGTTTCAATTTACCCCAAAAGCACAGGCATGAGTATGCAGTCGTTAAAACAGATTTTAAATATAAAAAACGTCTTAAGAATGCGTCTAGAATATAAATAGCGACCGATCTGATAGACAAATATACAAGAAATGTCTACATAAATTGAACTTACACGAGTCACAGTCATATCAAGTTTTACGTAGTCTTTACGTATTTTATCGAAGACATCGATAAATGATATCATTGAATAACGTAATTATTTGTAAATTTATGTGCGGATTTCCCGATCGTATTCATGAATCATTAAATAATGCGATATTAACATGAAATGAGGTATGTCCAGTTTTTTGCAACGATGTATGGCATATGTTTTTCCTATTTTATACGATACGATACAAAATAATGTGAATGTTTTCACGCAGTACCACAGAGCCATCTGGAGGAAAATCTGAGCAACAGGCGCTCCGAAACTTTAGCTATTGAATCGCTGTTCTACTGTTTAGTACGTTTTGCTACCGCCAGAGGGCTCTATTTCATACTGAATGCTTTAAGAGGGGAAGAATCCAAATGTATAATATACTTTAAGAATTTTAGATAATAATTAATAACAAGTAACGATGAACAAAATAATTTTAACTTTTGAAAGAAAATGAATGAAAAAAGGGCCAATTCCATGTTTTTGGAATTAGCGAGAAAACTTCCCAGTCATGAATCCCATAGAATATTTTCTTTAGTAAAAGTAAATTATTTTGTGTTTTCAATACAATGAAATATTTATCATGTTACGTTAACTGATTGAACCATATATTAATTTTGAAATATTTCGCAAATTGCAGCAATTTTTTAAGAAAGAAATTTTTTTATATTGTAATAATATATTGGCAAACGAACAAACGGATTACCTAATGGTAAGCATTCAGCGCTGCATATGGACCAAATAACCAAAGGAGTTACTAGAAGTGTGTTGGGTTTCTTAGGGATTTTAGGATTTGATGATTGAGAATGGGAGGAGGGGAAGGGAAGGATTGGGCCTCCAGAGTAACCTCACTCACATGGTGAAACACAACGTAAGTGTTGCTTCACGCCTGACTTTCTGTGAGGCCGTGGTATCATTACGGTTGAGACGGCCCAACGTGCCGAAACATGGCTCTCCCATATTTACAAAGTATGCTATGAATTTCGTGACGATACCTCAAACAAAACCCTTGGAAGTATCGTTTTTGATATTTAGTTAGTTGTCAAATATAACTTACGTAAATATCATCACTACATAGTATAAAACAAAGTCCCTTTTCCTATATATATATATATAAAGAAGCATACATAGCTTCTTTAAAAATACGCAACGGATTTTGATGCGTTTTTTAAATAGAGTGACTGTAGGAATATATGTATATGAATGATAATATCCATTAAATAGTGAAGACATTTAGTATTAGCGTTGCAACCATGTGATGCAGGGGCGGGTCGCTAAAATAAAAGTAGATAAAATAAAATATTAATCAATAACCGTACTTAAAATATTTTTGGTTTTTTTAAATAATAATTTTCCAAATAAAAACGGTACCTATATCCGTGTTATTTTTTAAATAAAATATCGGATTAATATACCTTGATTTACGTGTATGTCTGAAAAGACAAAAATAAAAGAATAAAGTTCATGACCCCTATCCAAGGGAAGATAAAGGCTTTTGTTGTAACAAAAATAAGAGGTTGAATCTCGAATCCCGTATAATTACAGTAATTTGTCTTAATTATAAGGTGAGGTCGCTACCTGAATCAGGTGGATAGTTACACTGGCGGTCTCACAATTAATTGACAGTCATTAAACCTATTCTCGGAAGTTATCTGGCTATTAATCGTATTATACAGTACATTCATTTATTTATTTTAATTTTCTAGATAAATGGTGTCCGTTAATATACTTTTTTGCATTTTTTGGTATAAGAATGTAGGTCTGTCCTTTTAAACACGCTTTATTTCGCCGATAATATCACTCTTTCTAATCTTATAGTGGTAGACAAATGTGCACATATAATATATGTTACGTAGTTAACATATTATAATATAACATATGATAACTATAATAGTTTGCATAACGTAGGATTTCTACCTAAAACAATTTTTCCTATTAAGTACCTGTTAAAGCAGTCTATTTATTTTCATTACAATGAAACATTTTTGTCTGCTACGATAAATAGGGGTGAGAGAAATTTCGTAGCAGCTCGTAGCGCTACGAAGTTCGTAACACTTTGTAGCTCGTAGCATTTGAAAATATAAATGTCAATAGGAATGTAACAAAGTCGGTTATTCCGTAGAGGTGAAAGTCTTGTCGATATTATTTGGTTCCTACGATTGCTCTAAGTGTTTTTAATAATAGTTACTAAAGCTGTGTACATTACTTTATTTTACTGGAGTTAATTTGTTGATCTCGGTGTTCTATGGACAGTAGTGCGTTATATTATTTTTTTGTGAAGTGGGCAAACGAGCAGACGGTTCATCTGAAAGTTAGCAATGGTTAACTTTCACACGAGCTAATGTCTATGGGCAACGGTATTCTGTGAGGCCGTGGTGTAACTCCGCTCGAGCTGACCTATTCGTGCAAAAGCCCTCTGCGTTCTCTTACCACAAGAATTTAATTACATTCATAGCATTTTTTATCTTTTAGTTTAGTTAGTTTTTTATTTTTTTACATCAAACATAAACTTAAACCTAGGATTTTTTAATCAATAGAGTTAATCATGAATACATTTATTTTATAAAAAAATAGATCAAAATTTGCTTAGTGAGCACATTGTCTTTTTGTCTTTTTTGTCACAACATCTACAAAGTCTGTGTGAAGTCCGTAACAGATGCCTCTCACGCTGTATTTACGAGACAGTGCAACTTCCTATAGGCTGTCCTGTAAAACTGATTTACTGAGAATTCCGTGGAATATTAAACTGTATTTACTAGATGATAATATTTAATTTCCTGTGTATCAAAGAACAGAACCGTAGCTGTGTGACGTAACAGTATTGCAGCTATAGTCAGGACAACTTTAAAATGGCGTAATCAGACCAATTTTGGAACCTGTCCATAGAGAACATTTCCTTATTACAACAACCAATAGATAACTCATAAAATGATTTTAAAATAAATATTTTTACCATATTTTTGACTTTAAAATTTTTATTTTCGATTTGATAGGTCGGCAAATGGCATTTTATTAGTGCCACCATGGATACCTGCAACTACGAAGGAGTTACTAGTGCGTGGCCGACCTTTTGGAGATTAGGGATTTGGAGATTTTGGGATTGGAGGGATTAGCTCCGGTAACCTCACTCACACGGCAGCGAACGCAATTGTATAAATATTGATGAAATAATAGCGGTGTGTTTAAGAATATCGCACTTTCCTTAATCGGTGCTGTCAGTACTGAAATAATTTACTATGGATATTACAAGAATCTGAACAAACAATGCAGTCATCTTTATTGCAGGAATATGTTTGTCTTATACTTGTAATGACTTAATAACAATGACGGCATGTATCGTATGATTATTACATAATTGTTATTGCAGTACAGGAAAAACAACCGATTCGTTGACCTCATCACAGGAACACTACAATAAGGTAAATCTTATGATGACTTAAAAACAATGACGAAATATACAACGTAAATTTAATGATGACATAGAATTATGTCATTTTTGGCATACATAACAAAACGACTACATATGCTAAAATGTCAACAGGAAAAAGGAAAACTTATTATATCGTCCGATTGCAATTTGTTGAGTAATTAATTAATGACGAATGATATATTTTGATAGTCTATGTATGAAGAACCATATGTTTATGACATGTCAATATATGATTCAAACATAATTATAAATTCATGATGACTGTGAAAAACCTTTTGAGTACTAAAGGCTTACAAACTTACATAAAAGAAAGGTGTGTTTATAGCTGTAATTAAAGTAATAATTTCTTTTTCTTATCAATGTTTGTTTAGCTTTTACGAAAAAACATGCAATACATGTGTAGGTATAACACAAAAAATAAACAGATTTCAATTAAAAAAAAACACAAACTAATAGATTTTTTTATATTTCGTTGCTTTTGTTTTCCTTTATCCGCTCGATAAATAAATTAACATTATTTAGCAATTTTATCTTAACTCCAACAACTCGTAGCAGAGTTGGTAAGTTGATAACATAATCGTTTAAAACACGTAAGTTTTTAAGGAGAACCTTTTAAAAAGGCGAAAAGGAGTAAAATCAATGATTATAAAAAGGGCGCATCACACGTGTAATTTACCCCGTGCTATTTATATTATACCTGCCGGTGGTACGCCTCCGTGCGGACACTGGAGGTCTCCGCAGCGGCCTGCGGGAAGCTCCCCTCGCACTCCATCGACGCGGCGCTTCGCTCCACCTGACCACATCGCCTACCCATCAAATACGACCACCAGACAGTCAGACCGACCACCACTTTGTACACAAACGAACCAACAGCTTTTACGAGCTATAAACCGACTTGCATTGAAAATACCACGAAATATTTTGTTAAAACCATAACTTTTAATGCATGTGTATCAGGAACTCGGGTTTAAAAAAATCTCGCTCATAAGTATTGAAACATTTATTACATTTCTTATGAGTAATTGTAATTAAGGAAACCGATTTAAGTTACATTCCATATATCATTTTTAATGAGTAATTTACGGTATATAGGTTAAAAATATTCACCTGAATCGGCCCAAAAGATAGTCGACACCAACCCAGTTGGGAAAAGGCCAAGGGAAAACAAAAGCTAAATAAGTATAGAATTCTCGTGTATCACTGAGCATCTGGTATATAGAGTTACATAGCATTTTGAATGATACTTTTATATACAAGAAATGTTTTTCAAGTATCATTTACCTTGGTATGGGGAGTAAAAAGCCGCTTAATAGCTCTCTTTGAAATTGAGTTTAATTTCCCCGTGTGTTGCTACGTCTCGGTGATTTGTTTACTATGTGGAGCTCTTCCGTCTTTTGCCGAACCCCTGTGTTCCTATAGGCCGAGTGGCTTCGTGCTCGGTGTTCTCGGTAAATAATTGGAAGAACTTAATTACCGAGCAACCGACGACATGATATAATTACGAGGCAGTAGTTGTTATGTATGCTGAGGAAGTAAAATTTAAGTTTTACGATCTGTGGAAGTTATTTATTTTGAGAAATAGATGTTGGTGTTATTCAAAAATAAATATAGTGACGATGGTAGGCGTCAGTAAATAACATTATAAACAGATCATCGCACGTAGGCAGATTACTGACGCATGACGACTCTCAACATTCCTTTATTTCGTCTTCAAAATATCGCAGACGGTTGGCATTTTCTAGGATCCGACCTATGTATGTATGTAGTTGTAAATTGCGAATATCGGACCGTTGCTCATATCACACTTCAACGGGTGTTTACGAAATTTTCTTCAATGTTCGTTTATTATTGGTTTGGTAGCTTGCCAATGTAACTATGCAGATTTAAAACCACGTGTTTTAATGTTACTGTACGAAAACATTTCTTATCAGTTCTGTGCCCAGTGCTCAGTGACGAGGTGTATAATTTTTCTATTAAAATTTATTATTATATAACTTTTCACGTCAGATGTAACCGTAATGCGTATTTATGAGTCGTAGTTGCTCGTCTCTCCTAAGGAGTCTAACTGACTCAGGTATGAATCTGCCGACGCGTCTGTTTAACAATCGAAAGCGATACTAGGATAGTAAAGAGACAATCAATATAAGTAAGTAAGCATTAGGAGCCTAAAGTTTAATTTCGCGAAACGAGAGCACAATAATTACAGTTTTCAACAGAATATTCTGTGGTACAACAAAGCTGGAGGTTCGACAATATGACAATACGTATGTCAGCAGTAAATGCCAGTAACAATTGGAGTTAGCGGTAAAAGGTTTACAGGAAGGATCCTTTACATTGTCAGTTAGGTTGATAAATCCGGTGTCGGCCTTTGTCAGGGACGCCCAAATATTAAATTTTCTTGAAAGAAGCGAAATGGAACACATTTCATTCCATCTTTTACTTTTAATATTGTCCCAAAAATATTGTTTTTGTTGTAAACGTTAGAGTTTTTGGATGCACAGAATGTTATTGATTATTTATTTAGTGCTTGCATCAAGTACAAGATACGTAATGTGTGTGTTCTCTTTATACTTCAAGGAATTCTTAAAAAAGGAATGATTCCTGTTTTATGTCTTTTCGTTAAGTATTTAAGGTTCAATTATTTGTTCATCAAAGACAAATATTGTAATCTGTGGCCATATTGTTTGTACATCATTTACTGCTGAATAACCGCTCTAATTTAATCTAAATACTGATCAAAGCATTAAACATACAACAGTCGTAACTCATTAATATTTTGAATACCTACATCAATCTAAAATTATCAGTAACTAAAATGCTCCTTAAATCAATGAAGGAAACCTACGAAAGTTTCCATGACCTAAATTATTCATAGGAGAAAATAAACTATTGGTGAAAGTTAATACACCAATTACTAAGACAATATAAGTAGTGCTAAAGTTAACGAATAACTGCCACAAGCTTAGAGATGTTGATGGATGGAAGAAAACTAGAGCTATGTCGACAAACAGCTCATGCAACTATCCCATCATTTCTTAGATTCTGGACTTTATTAGAAAACTATAAGGCTGAAGATCTATAACACAGTTTGTAGTATTTTGATGTGCTGCCATCAGTACAAAGGCGATAATAGTCTTCAGTAGCAATGATATTAAATTGTTTCCAGTCAAACGGTTAAAAGGAATCTCTTTCATGTTCATGTTATTCTGGTCCGTTGGTCCTTTACTGAGTGAGTGTCACATATTGGTCCTTTCTGCGCGGCACTAGACTTTGCGATGAAAAGAATAATTCTACTATGACCTGTTTACGTCTTCGTCAAATAGTCAACTCTTATCTTATCTGCCAGATAGTTTCATAGATATATTCTTTTATTTTCAAGACACTTCAATTTAGCTAGGCTAGGTAAGGTAAATTTAGAAAGAAATGATATTGAGAAATAATTTTGAGATATGAAAGTCTCATGTCTTAAATCAAAGTCCACGTTTTTGATACATATCGGACAATTCTAGTATAAATAATGTTTCATTAAAATTAGGTCTTATCACGGTTTGATACAAAAATACAAGAAAATCATACATTTTTGATTGAGGAAACGCAAGAGTGACGCTATTTTTAACAGAAAACAGACATTTTTATTGTTGAGACAATTTTAGAACGTGTTCAGAATACTGAACAATGTTTTCATTTTTGCTGTAAACACGTCAGCTTACACGTGCTGCATGTAAATGTATCTGTACATAAGTAAATTTTATTCCGACAGCCCCTGAATGAGGTGGAAAAACTCCCCAACTTTCACGTCAAATATTGTTCTATAACAAAAGGAGCGAAGGTATTGCATTATGCGACGTTGAAGAAACAAGAATCGCGTGAAATTATGTTTCCCTACTCTTTGAAATTGCTTGTGAAATATAATTCTCCAACTGTGCTTCACAATAGTTTCTTATTGTATCTTAATCGTTCTGTTCTAGCTTAGTAACAACCCTCATCGTAGTCACAGATAACATAAATTAAATTCCATCAGATAGTATCTAACACCAATTTAAGCATGTAGAAATTAAACGCAACTACACAATACATATAATAAAATAATTAACTCCTATCGGCGTATCTACATTGCAGATTTTTACGAAGATTAATACCTAATAAATACGTTATAAAATAACGTCATTGAAGATAATGGTATTTATCAATAGCATCAACGTATATCTTACTAGAATCAAATGATTTTATCATTTTCCCTCAGTTTTAATTTTAAAATATGCGATAGTATCTTACTAATACGTTTCATTGTCGAATATCAACACATCACTAGTGTATATGAATATCGTTACGACTGTTGTATGTTATGTTGAGTGGGAGTTTTGCAGGTAGCGGTGTGGACCTCTTCGGGTGTTCGCCACTACTGGTCTGACTGGAGCTGGTGGTGGTGGTGCTGAGCGTGGACAGGTCACTGGACGCGCGTGCTGAGCGGAGCCGTGGGAGGACCGGCGCCTCCTCCGTCTCGGGGGAGGACACCACCTCGCACGCCCAGCCCAGCGCGCGCGCTGCCGACCACACCGCGAACACGAATGTCAACATTGTCGACTTATCGAGCCACGCGCCGCCCTCGACCCCTGCCCGCACCCCAACAACACTCGCGTGGGTACCAACACATGGGTTCCAGTTCACACAGTCATGTCTTCACACAACGACACAGTAAATGAGTGGTGCAGCCCGGCAGCACATGGGGAGCACGTGCAGCGGCGCGGCGTGGCGGAGCGCGCTTCACACGCCCGCGCGGCTCGTACAACACTGGGCTCGCCGCCGAGCTGCCGGCACGCGCGCTATACTATGCACTTGTGTTATCGTCATTATTGATAGTTACTAGCTTGACAACTACGCGCTAACGTTGTCAATAAGTACAACATACAGCAATAAAACATTTTCGCGGCAGAGCTAAGTGTGTATTGTTTGCAGTTATTGTCCCATCACGGACCTGTCAATAGATCGTCTGATTATAATAACACTAGAGATCGTGGCTGGAGCTCACGTTATGGAATGTCACTAATAGTAGAAGAGATCGTGCGTGTAGATATTATTATGTGCATCGCGGACGGCGTGACGCGGCCGGCAATGTTGACGTTGCGCGGCGCGGGGAACGTGAGCGGCCGACGTCACTCACTGCTTGGCTCACCCGCGCCGCCACTCACTGAAAGGGCACGTTCTATATTTATATGTGACCCACAATTACATCACTGCTACAAAACAATATGAGTACGTCATTTATTTGTCCAGTTTTTGACAAGATATCACTTGTTGCACGCGCGTTTCTCGTCGGCAACCGTGCCGTGTCGCTGCAAGCGTCGAATCGATCACGACGACAACGTCTGAGCGGACGTGCGTGTCAAGGTGTGCAGCGCGCCGGTAAATCGTGTCGACGTCGTTTCGGACAGGAGCTCCGTCACAGAGCATCCTGCGGCTGCCCGGCGGCCATGTTGCCAGCGCCATTTTGCCGGGGGTCGAATGGGGCGAGCCGCATGCGTACGCCGGTACGCAACTCTTGTGTTCAAAACGACGCAAGTCACCAGGCCGACGAGGAGAAGTAGTACTTATGCCATCTACCTAAGAATCATTTTTATGTTCTATGCAAAGTGCGTTCATTTATAGGTCAAGCGAAAACCTAACGTCTTCACTGAAGCTTGCTACGAATCACAACCACTGAATTCGGTTTAATACATTCGTAAGGCTTCGCAGATTACGTTTTAAGCGATAAACCTTAGTTTCCGCATTGGTTCACAGCTGAGGATACTATTACAGTTTAAACTCCCTGTCAAATCACAAGGTTTTTTCGGTAAACTAAACTAATTCGTTCCAAGATACGTACACACAAGACCTATATCTATATCGCAAAGAAATAATCAATCAGTAAAATTCTATTGGAAACATTTGGGTCACCCCACATGCCTATAAAGTAGTAAACTATAAAATTAACGTGAACGCTACGTCAGATTACGATAGTTAACTGTAAATAAAACCAATTAAACTTACAGTGCTTCCTTCATTTCTAGTGATTCCAAATCTGGTAGTGGAAATTTCAACATAGTTGGAATTTTACTTACTTTTCATGAAAATTTTCACTTGACATGAAAGTCTGGGCCAACGTGATCACGGATTTTCTGGATCATATGTGAAGGTGAATGAGTTTTAATGTAATTGTGAGTAGGGAACGTTCATAGGTTGTTTTGTGGAGTGTCGCGTAGGTCGAGCGCTGTGAACTTGACCTACGCTTCACTGCCCCTTACGCGGCTGCACCCTACATTACATCCGGGGGAACATTTGCATTGATCTCGCAGACATTTTGTACTTTTTAACAATTTTCGATTTGTGTCTAGTACATTGTACATTAATACTGTTAAAGTCTGAAGTATATCACTTTAAATATGTATATTTTATTTTAGAGAACTATATTTTTACTACACTACACTATTGTATCAGGAAACTACTGTGATAAGAGTTGTATGTTGGTATATATAAATAAATTAATACTTTTGTATAATATTTTTTAATTTAATATAATTTTAAACCAATTGAAATACGATTTAAAAAAGGGATACTGTTGAAAACTCTTTAAAAGACATACGCGAAGCAATATTGTGATCTCATTATTAAGATCTCTTTTTTGAATTCTTTCTCAATTTAAAAACCCGAAGGTAGCTTTGTATTTTTCTAATATAAATACTCATGGTTCTAAAACGAAGATAACAGAAACGTAGTTTTATGAAACATAACATAGGAACACAAAACATGATCACAAACAAGTCTAAGATTAGCAGTGTGTGTTTCACGAAGCGGTACGACGGTACAATACGGCATTGTGAGACGAGTTACCTTGGCCAGTAATGACCATTGCTCTATCCACTATATTATTACGCTTCTGACCAAAGATAATTAGTGTGGGAATGCACGGAGATGCAATTACGGCGTACGTCACACACTGATTGTACTTTGTATTATAAATGTACCTACTATATGCATAATGATTAAATTAGCCAGAGGAATCTTGATAAAGCTGATTATCTATAACCAGATTGTATGTAATTGGCCTCAATTTGGTTATTATACGTGTATTAATAGGTATTGTGTGTATTGTTATTAGTTTACGTGTCTATTTGTATGTTAAAGACGATGTTATGTGTTTTCTGCTTTATTAAATGTCGATAACGATGTTAATTACATCTTTCACTTATTTAAAAGCAATATTTATTTATTTTATGTCTATGATAGAAGAATGTGGCGAGTACAAATGGAGGTTGTTATCATACAAGGCGATTTCTTCCTGACTACTTTTCGATGGAAGACGCGGACACAGGTAGTGAAGTGTGCATTGAAATAAACGTACAGATTAAAACACAAAAAAATCGTGTGACACATTTTCATTAATACTTGTTTTTGTCATTAAATATTTCTGATGAAATAAGCTGTTGTGCCTTTGTACCTAATTGTTGTATTATTTTTCTTGTCCAACTTACTGTGTGTACAAAAATTATTAAATAAATAAATAAATATTTACAGACAGAGCTTTAGTTAGTACATGAGTACTCAGCCTTTTTGTTAAGGCATTTATGTAGGTAATTACAAAAAAAAACACTAAATGAAGGACATGGCCATCGTGCTACCTAATTCTTGTTGGTTTTCCTGTTTATTATATAGACAAAGGGGCTTGGTTTTACCAGACATCGAATTAAAAAAGGAAGGAAAAAACGGTTTAATAATAATATATTATCAAGTGTTAATACTGTTCTTTCTAATGCTAAATACCTATACGAGTATGTATATCATCAAACATAACATCAGCATATTCTTAGGAATATGTATTAGCGTCATTTTCTTATAATTTTACGTAAGTATACGTTTCGACCATAAACATGAGTCTAGGTTTTGCTCAAAAAGGTGATACATTGATACACAGGTACAGGTGGCGAACAGCTTTTTTATAGTTTTGTTATGGGTCAGCGATTAACCACTATCTTTTCTTGTCGAATCCTTCGTTGAAGCACGCCAGTCGAAAAGCAACCTATACACTAGGGTCTTAAGGACACTCTTTGGCAATCACAGATTTTAGCAAAGTACTCATTCGCGTTGAAAAAGACTAATCATAAATTAGCGAACTTTTCAACCAAAAACTCATCATTGAACTTGAATCACAATATGATGAAAAAGCATTACAGGGCTTTGTGACTTTCGCAAGAATTCATTGCGTATTATGGTAGGTTAGCAGCTAATCGCATTGCCGTCGACGAAGCCTATTACGATGCAATTATCCACTTGCCACTAGCTCTGTTCCACACGAGACTCTTGGGAACTGCTTACACGCATTAAATCGGTAGGTAGACAGCCCTAGATATACTCTATAGTCTATTACAAAGATGGCAAAGTTTTACTATCAACGTTCTATTTTTTAAAATGTTTTTTTGTGACAATCTTATTTATTTTGAATTTTCCGTATGAAAAGATATACTTTTAGCGAAATATGTACATGCTGAACTGGGGTCATCTATCTTACTCAGGCTTTAATGTTATTCAATATTCACATAACACATGTAATAATTAATAAGAAATTAATAATTACATGTCTTTAGTCTATAACGTTTTATTTGTACTTAATTTATTCTATTGACTCTTTTCTGATTATGGTTTTATTTTGTTTTTTAATATAATTAATTTCTTTAACATTTCTATACCATTAAATTGTAGTCATAGTGATCACTGACACTGCTTTGAGTGTAAAATCTATTTTGTAACTATGTTTACAAATATTGAATTGTATTGTATTGAAAGATTCGCCGGCCTAATACAAATATTGTGATCAGTGATGTGCCGTATATACCATCAATGGCAAGAGTGCCAATGGTTCACTATACCTGGTCTATACCTATACATTATGTAAGTCTGTACTCGTTACCAAGCAAAGGAGACGTTATTCTTACAAGATATGATAGAAAAATTATGCAGATATTACAAAACATGTAGATGATACTATCGCTCAGATATTGAGCCTGGTATCAATAGTTGTTTCGCTACATCACTATGAAATGTTGATGTTAATCTATTAAGTCTAAATCGAGTCGATTTAAGGATAGTGTGTTTATTTTCAGACGTGTTTTTAAATTAAAAGAAGGACGTTAGTGTTTGCACGTAATACAATATCATTTTAATTGAATGTAAAGGATAAGGTCTCTATATTTAAAAAAAAATGTCGTATTATGTTACGACGTAAGTGTTATGCCACTATTTATTTGAATAATCGAATTATAAAAACAGTATCAAGAAAATATACTTAGTCGGGTCATAAGTTCTGTCACAAACTTTTGATGTAATAACTTATACGCCTTTTGACAATTATTTAAAAATTATATATGAAATGAAAGGTCATTAAATGTACAATATAATTTTATTTACATTATTCGAAATGCCCTCCCCCATTTTGAACACATGCCCTTAATCTACGCGGCCAGTCATCGATCGCTGCACGCACCACATTCATATCTATGTCTGCCGCTGCTTTAACCAGAGATGCTCGGAGAGACTCCAAATTCGGGTGAGGTTTAGCACAGACTTTTTCCTCCAAATATTGCCATATCTTGTAGTCCAGTGGGTTTAAATCTGGACTAGAAGAGGGCCAGTCTTCATGCCGGATGAAGTCAATTCCACGAGCGATCAACCAGTCTTGCGTACTTCGTGCCTTATGAGCCGGTGCAGAGTCCTGTTGGAATATCCAATGCCTGTTCCTGAACATTGTCTGAGAAAGAGGTTCCACTATGTTTGTTAGGACAGTATTTTGATAAACTTCGGCACTAGTTCTCACACCTTTTTCACAGAAAAACACCTCAGTTACGCCTGAATATGAGACTCCAAGCCAAACCATGAATGAGGAAGGGTAATGCCCACGCTGGACCCTCGCAATACGCGCGCTTGCTTCTTCACTGCTGTGGGCATACACCTTATCATTTTGTTTGTTAAAACTTTCTTCAATAGTAAAAATTTTTTCATCCGAAAAAAGAATTTCGCGGTATTTTTTTCCCGCGTACCGTCGTAGCAAAGCGCGGGATCTGTCTAGCCTAATTTTTTTTAAACGCTCGTTCAAAAAATGTCCTGTCTTTTTACGATAAGCTCGTAGTCCCAGGTCTTCATTTAGTACTCTTTTAACAGTGGTTCTGCTTAGCCCCATCTGCAGAGCTAGGATTTTTTGTTTACGTACGGGATTTCGTTCGATTCGCGCCTTCACTGCTTTGATGACCTTATGTGTCCGAACTGTGCGAGGTCGGCCGCTTCTCTTACGATCTTCGAAGCTTGACTCTTCGGTGTATCGTTTGATAGTACGATAAACAAACCGTAACGTTATTTTCAAATTTTGAAGAATATTGAAAATGTCTTTTGGCGCGTAACCACAGCGGTGCAACGCGATAACCGCGATTCTGTCTTCTTTATTCGACCACTCCATATTTAAAAATGAATAAAAAATAATTTCTTTTTTATTTTCTACAAGCGCGAAAGTTCTATTTTTAAAATAAGTCGAAGAATTTCTGGCCAGTAATCGAAAATTAAAAATATAAGGTTTTGACAGAACTTATGACCCGACTAAGTATATAAATTGATTTCATCATAAATAAAATTTATAATTTATTATTTACGATATGACATTTTTAATTATACTGATGTCGGTAGCAATTAATTTGAAAAATTGCAATACAATGGGGACCGATCGTGGAAAATAATTATTTCAATAACAAAAGGGCTATTTAGGGACATTATTTAATTTGTATGATGCAATCGTACGCTCAGGGTGTTTGTTGTAACTTGACCACTAATTAATTAAAACGCGGTAACAGTAAAAACTGATTAACTGTCAACAATTAAGCTAATTAGTGTTTGGTTTTCACAGATTTTATACGACATTTTGGGTTTGGGTTGGAAATTAAAATGAAAGCTTTGATATGATATGAATTTAGAATTTTTTGATAAAAAGCCTTCGTTGAGGAAGAAAAATTCATATGTCTAGTTAAAAATCAATTGCTAAAATCTTTCTCTTAAAAGTCAAAAGCCCAAATCATTTATTTCAATTAGACCCATACAGGCACTTTTGAGCGTCAAATAAAAATCTTAATCAGTGTCTTTATAAAAAAGAAAACAAAAATTCAATTCATAATTCATTATTAATGTAAAGTAGTAATAATTCGGTGAACACTTAAGTTTGTTATAAATATGCATTTAAAGATCCTGGACCCAAGAGTTTAGGCGCTAAGTAATGGCGCTCTTGACCGCTTCGTTGGAAATAATGGGTCCTCGTGGAATTCACAACTTTACTGAAATCTTTCAACGTTGCTCGAAAATAAAACTAGATTTGCCCTCGACTTTGATCGTACAAACTCGGCGGTTTGCCAATTTATAATGCATTCATTTGAGGCTTACAATTTCATGGAAATATTAAGTTTATTTAAACAAATTTATATAAGCAGTCATGAATTCTTTTCGCACGCGCTCAAAGAGCCATAGACCACCACAGACGGGGCCCAAAAGGGCCTATGTTCAGCCGAGGTTGCGGGTCGAACGCGATTATGTACTACAGTTTCGGCCTGGGTCCGTATATGAAACGGGATAGTTTTTCCTCGGTAAGAGTCTGACACTCCCTCTCACCCTGTTAAGGGCGAAAGAAGCCATTGGATTTATTTCTCTCAGAAAAAAAGATACATGTAAAGTAAGTTAGTATCAAAAAATAATGTTAAAAAGATAAAAAATGCAAAATAGCACCCACCCAGACTGGCTGCTTATACGTAATATAAACTAAGTTCTACATCAAATAAGTAACCAGAAACCTAATTTCGAAGCAGATACATACATGACGTAAATAACTAAAACTACAAGTAGCAAATAAAGCCAACGTTGTCCCACAAAAGCTGTGTGTATACAGCTAATTATCGATTTCACGTTATAATACGATTTACTTATTAACGATGTTGACAATAGGATACGAAAATTGCCGCCATAATTCGGAAACAGAAGAGATTATTACATTACCTATGTATAGTTTGTACACAAGTTTTCACGTGTCATTATCAGGTACGTGTTAATATTTTATTTATACAGTTTTGTTATTTGGTTTTTTATAGATCTTCAAATATAATATGTAGAAAAAAACAACAAACTTATGTTCAATTATGAACTTGTAACTTTTTCGTTACAGTTTGCTGTTTTTTATATAATTTTTTTTTCGAATATAATTACATAGTTTACAGAACAGTGGAAAGAAGAGGGAATCAGTTAAATTCTTAAGACTATTTTGTTTTTTTAACAATTAAAGGTCACAAAAATAATTGGTAACATACAATTAAAACGTTTTGTTATTTTTTTTAGACAATTGACCACGCGTTTTGTTCTGATAATAAATACAAATATACAAAATAATATTCACTCACTTTTCTTTAAATTTTCTTAGTAATCTAGTAATCTAGTAGTACTTTAGCACCAACAATTAGACTTACTTTCGAGAGTTTCTAAAAATGTGCTTTGTCTCGCCTACTGATAAAACATAATATAGATTTGTCAAGAGCTTTTTGAGTTCTTAATAAAACCTTTTTATACGGAACTCTAAAATTTATTCATTATTTAGCGACTGATTATACATTCCACTCTAACTTTGGCGAAATTTAGCTTTGCTTGAACACTTTTATTAACAAATTTTTATGAACAAAATTACGGTATATTCGTCCTTATTGCTTCATGATTGAAGTTGAATTTATTTTACCATAATAAGCTTCTGCTTTCCCATTAAATATGTTGATGGTTTCTTGACAAATTATTAATTTAGGCGGAATTTCTTTTTTATAAATAAATGTTTATGTGTGTTTACAGTGTGGGTAAGCATTTCAGAGACTTACTCTGTGAAAAAGTTCCAGAATGCTGTGAAGAGGTAGCGAGCGACATCTAGCTCCCACTTAAGTAAACTTAAAGTAGCGCCACCGCGCCCCTTTCAGCTTCCAGTCTACCCTTAATTTAATGCCGCTTATAACCGTGAGATGGCGGTAAATTCATTTTATTGTGTACAATCGAAATAACGTCCTACAAACTGCTATTTTGTAATGAGTTTCGCGATGGTATAATTGTTTTTCAATTGAATTTCTTCAATATTTTAAAGATTGAAATAAAAAAATCACCCAAATAACGGGATTGGAAGAAGAATACATAAGACGATTACTAATACTCAATTTAATTATACAATAATTTCTGTCATACGATATTTACATAAACTAAAAAGTTTACCACATATAAGTATATAGCCGTTTCTCTCCAAGAAGAAATGTAAAAAGCATCAGTTGGAAAGTGAACTAAGATCCGTGTATAGTTACCGGGTGTGATGCGGGTGGTCCTCCTGACTGCTGCTGCGTTTCCTCTTGCGTCGGAAGCACCAGTCCTGGCCCATCGCATCACAGCGCGCGCGCCGCGAGCCGCCCCCGCCCAGGGCGCGCTTCACGACCTACCCTCCATTCTCTAATACTTTCTTCACAACCAATGAGTTATACACAAAAATCCCCACTACCATCACATCCTGAATCTCCCAAGTACTTTCAGCTACTTATTTCGCTGTTATTTTGCAATGTCGTTGTACGTTTTCAAACTTTCATTGTTTCCGTTGAGCTGATGACCGCTGTAATTTGTAATTTGTTAGGACGAGCTTCCGAGTTAATTCTTAAGTATTTTTCCGCTATTGTTGTGACGTGACAGCGTGCCGTATACTCCAGTGACGATATTTATTATTGTTATTGCCTATTTCATCATGTGACATTAATGATACCTATTCATCTCAATTTTGATAACACTGATATCGTTAACGGACTTTGACATTATGTCGTAGGTACCTAAATCAAAATTTGATTACATCAATTGACATTCTTCTCGATTACATTCAATCAATTTTCAAACAACATGTATATAAGTGGAACTTGCCATGTCAATGTCCTCGCTTGTCTATTAAAAGTTATGGAAGTTTTTGCTAAATGATTGTTAACGAACATCTCGGAATTTTTGGTATACAAACTGTTGTATATATACAAAGTCAAAGTCAAAATCATTTATTCCAACTAAACAATAAATAGGTACTTTTGAAACGTCAAACTATAATAGTAGTCTGTCAGTCTCTTCGTCAGTGAAGCTAGGTGCTCATTCCAAATTGTAGATTCGAACGGCGAAGAACGAGCAAGAAACTCCAACGCTACCCTTTTTTTTTCAATATTTGTTTTTTAATTTCACTTATATAACATTCAGTATACAAATATTGATTTTGAAACAAAAAAAGATTTAGTGTATTATCAAGTATCAACCTAAGTTCTTCGTATAACGAGTAAATACAGTAGCCGAAGTGTATAAAGCACAAAGCCACCCCGTTGCGCTGTACAGCTTTTCTATAAGAGCTAATAATAGTTGTTATTGTCGAGCTAAGCACTAACTATGATCGTGAGTTGCTGATTAATGTTCCAGTTAATGTTGAGCTCTCAGAAAGTCAGGAGGAGGTAGGTCCACAGTACTTAGTTCCAACCGCTCCCCTCCTGATATTACAGAGCCGTACCAAGCTTTTCCATTAACTTGCAACACTCCCAAGTACTTCATCTAAAAACAATTTACCTCAAGTTAATGGATAAAAGAAGTTTATACTTCGCAACAAACATAAAAGAGAATTTTCTTGATGCTACCGCATTTTGATTGTGGTGATAAAATCTTAGATTAAGCTCTTGAAGATACTACCGGCTGTCTAGATAAATGTTATGTGAAACTATCTCAATAAAGCATCGACATAACATTACATCACGTTTTATGTTCAGAAGGGTAAGGTATAAGTACTTGTAGTACAAACCCGTTGAAAGGAATAATAAAGACTTATTATACATATACTTAAATATATTTTGAACTGTCTTTACTTCAACGCCCAAAACTTAATACAAATTACAAGCAAAAAACGTATGAATATTTTGCACTGGTTTTTCACTTCAAAATTTTGTATTTAGAACGTGATTTGTATTAGGTTGAATGTGCCAAAAAATTATCGGAATCTTACATATATGAAGGTGGTCATACAGGCCCAGAACGCAATTTGTGTGTACTATGTGGCACTTAAGCTAAGATACGAGAGATGATGAATCGGCCTTTTATATATATCTTACTAATATTATAAATGTGAAAAATTTGTGAGAATATATGGATATATTTATTGTTGTTTGTTATTCTTAACGCAAAAACGGCTGGATCGATTTGGTTGAAATTATGTATGCAGCAAATGTGCTTTTTATCAACATACCACATGGTGGCCGAAGCTAGTTTTTCATATTTAGAATACTAATACTCGTATTGATTATGTAACTATTTTACACTTGTGTGTAAACACCTGTGCTTCTAAACAGATTAAATAGTATAGAAAATGAATTAATGAATGCAGGTGTTGACGAAGTTACATCCAATTGAACCAACCAACGAGTACATATGGGACTTGGCACCTTGTATAACTACATGTTGAATACTAATCGACCCACAAGTGCTTGCACGCATCTTGTATCGTGCTTATAGCTTTAAACGTATGCATTCTGTAAATGCTATATGACCTCCGTAGTTGTATGTCGACGCATACCGTTCTATACTCTATAGTACTCTATAAGGTTTATCAGTACGTGAGATATTAGAATTTGGGATAAGGAATTTAATGATTCATTTGGGACTTTACTTAAAAAAAACAATATGTTTTGTTTAGAAATGTGTTTCCATTTTGGTAAATGCTAAGAGACACTTTTGCTTAAATCTCCTCTTGTTAATTGTAGGGGTGAGGTGGTGATGCACACACACACATTATATGATCATGGGATATGTTATGGACGATAATACGGGAGATTGTACATTATAGTACGCAATCTTCGATGATGGCAATGAATCAATCAAAATGTTTTGGAAAACGCATCACTTTAAAATGCCTGGAAAAAAATTTCTATGCTTATTATTATCAGGAGAAGTTCAGTATAGGAGAAATTTGAGAAATATCACCCGGAAAATAGGTGGATGCGAATCAGGGACGGGACCGCTATTTAATTTTTTGATAATCGAACTTGAAGTCGTTTTGCATGACATGACTTGCATTTGTTGTAATTCGCCATAAATTTTGAGACATATTAAAATAAAAATTATTCTTATATAAACAACATTACACATAAAAACTAAGCAATAAGAATACGTGTTATCATGCATTGTGTAAACACAAACAAATAATTTGATACTTGATTTGCTCCTGAGTACATAGATACATATCGCGACCGGTACACTCGAACACAATAGGAATATAGAGATTTGTATCGCGATAACTCGATAACAGACGGGTAAAATTCCATCGGACATTCTTATGTAGGGGTGTTAATGTTATTATATGAATATATTATTACCATTAACTTATTTTATTTCAGCTTAAATCTTTGATTGCGGCGGAAATTATAGAAAATGTTGTTGATAGTACATGGTAATTAGTTAGTATTATTCTTGAATTAAACTTTAAGAAGCTTCTGTTAAAAATAAATCTTCACTGAAGAAACTAAAGAATAAATATTGACGATTTATTTCTTAATTTTAATGCCATTTTATGTCTGACGTTTGAATCCTATGCGTTATCAAATTTCTAAATTATTTATTGTATATAACATGCTAAAATAACTTCATAATCTAGTAACAAAATCTTATAGGAAAATAATGCAATTGGCCATTGTAACATATTTCTGAAACCTATTCCCGACAATCAACATAGTACAATATTACACTAATTGCTATCTGGGAAGATAGAGAGAGGCAATGTGGTTATGGGTCTCTGTCACTCCCCTTTGAGCTGATTGTAGAGTCAAATGTGAATGTTTATCTGTGACTGAACTAATTAGCAATCAAAAGTTCGTTTGAAAACTACTAGCAACGTTTGCAAATATAAAGATAACAATGTGCATTAATTCAATTGTATTTCTGACTGAATAAAAAAAGGTTATGTTATATCGAGAACTTTGTCGATAGTATTTTTATGGCAGTAAAAAGGTATTAAAACATTTCTTGCATTTAAAAAATACTATGGCAGTATGGTCCCTCCAAAATTTGTATGATTTGCATAAAACAAAATAGACGTTCTTTTAATTTTGAAATATGTATGTAAGTTATACATATGTACATACGTTGTGTGAGACGAATAGTATAGTATCACAAACAAACCCGAGAGATTTAAGTGATGCTGAATCAGTCAAAAACATGTAAATATTATTTTTGATAATTAAAAAAAAAGTATATTATTTATTATAGCTTTATTATCTTGTAGAATTTCATCAGAAACCTACTGGGTACAATTTATCAGAAATTGGTCTCGTGTCCAAGCCTTTACTTATATAAATCCGATCTTGTTCAATAGTAGTACATACAAATCTTATCAAAGCGTTTAGAATAAATCGAGATTCTTTTATACTCGAGTTTATGTACTTACGTTTTTGTGGAAAGTATTTGAACATGTTTGTTTAATAAATAAATATTTTTTTCTTTTAATACGTTGGACGAGAGTTTAACATGTGTAACTAGTGTTTTTAATAGTAATTTGGACTAATCTTAACGAAACTGACGAGGACTTATTATGATGACGATATATTGGAAAGTGAAAACTCATTATATTTCTTATTTCCAATATAAAATCTGCTACCTTATTGTATCTATTAATCAAGTATGTCCAGCCAATTATAAATCTTGTGTAGATAATGCATTACAAACCCGATTGTGTAATTGATTTGAAGTGCCAAACCTATACTTTTGATAATTGTTGCTAGTATTGTAAGAGTACAGCGCAGTAATAAGGTTAAGTATGTAGTCATTGAAATACACTTACACAACGATATAAATGAGACGTAAAACGTAATTTACTATAAAGTGAGTGAAGGTAATTTGAATAAACAAGTTTGTTAAATGTACAATGAACAGTTGTACAAAAGGGTCCCATTCTAACGGCAGCCAACGCAACGTTCGTATTGTAAAGAACTAGAACAAACTTTCTTACTTCAAAGTCTTCGAATGTCACAACTTTTTTGCACCCTTACATTACTTCTGTAGTACGTCCATACTTTATACGATTTCACGAACAACAATCGATGTAAACAAAAAAAAAATGTAAAAACTTTCCGTGTAACCCTAAAATAATTTAATCCAGCCTGTAACATGGTTAATTTAATTATTTTGTAGTGCAATCAATTCACATCACGAATTTCATTAAAATTAATTAATACGTAAGCAACGAGCGTCCACGTGTGATGTAGTACTTTGTTAAAGTAGATTGAAGCCAGATTTTTTGCTGTTGTAAGCGTTTTAAAACAGTGGAACCTTTACCGGGTTTGAGTTTGTTAGCCAGAGGCAGACTATTCTTTGTGCCTACGCACG